TGCAGGGTCGACCTATTGATCGGCCTCGACTGTGTTTCCGCTTGGTCCACGAGCATGAAGGCCACGAGGTCGAGCACGGCCTTGGCCATCGCGCCGATGCAAGCGCAGCGGTGCCCTCGCCCCTCCTCGTGGCCGGCCTGACACCAGGTTCGACCCCTCTCCCCCCCCTCCCCCTCCCTCCTCGCTCCATGTCCCCCTCACCCCTCCTCCTCCATCCCCCCTCCTCCCCCTCCTCCCCTCCTCCTCCTCCTCCTTCCTCCTCCTCCTCCTCCTCCCTCCTCAAACCTCCACCTCCCAATCCACCTCCTCCTCCCGCTCCCCCTCCCCTCCTCCTTCCTCCTCCTCCTCCTCCCTCCTCCTCCTCCTCCTCCTCCTCCTCCTCCTCGTGCCGATTAGGTCGGCAAGCCCCTCCTCCCCGGGTTAAAAAGTCCAGCGGGCCAAACAACACAAAAGACAGCACAAAAAGTCAAGAAAAGTTTTTTTTTTTTGCGGACGCCGTGCTCCCAGAACTGTGGCGTCTTCTGAGGATGCCGCCCCTTGTGCTGCACAGAGGCTCCACACGCCGCCCTTGTGGAGGACCTGAACACCAAGGGGGGGGCCGGCCACGTCCCGGACGCCACCAGGCTAGGTTCGACCCCTCTCTCCCCATCCTCCCCCTCCACCCCGGCCCTTCCCCCTCCCCCTCCCCCCCTCCCCCTCCTCCTCCTCCTCCTCCTCCTCCTCCTACTCCTCCTCCTCCTCTCCTCCTTCACCTTCCTCCTCCTACTTCTCCCGCCTCTCCTCCCTCCTTTTCTCGCTTCCTCCTCCTCCGTCCCCCCCTCCTCCTTCTCCTCCCCCCATCCTCTCCTCTTCTACATCCTCTTAATACCCAACCCTCTTCTTTTCTTTTTTTAAAGACAAAATATATTAATTGTTTGGTCTCAACACCCTCTCGTTTCTCCCTTCTTCCTCGTCCTCCTCCGTCTTGCATCCTCCTCCTCCTCCTCCCGCCTGCCGCCGACTAGGTCGGCTAAGCCCGCTCCCGGTTAAAAAAAAAAATAAAAAAACAAGAATAAAATACCAAACAAAAAAAGGATAAGAAAAGGGAAAGAGGAAGAAAACAGTAGACATAAAAGGGCCAATGGGCCCCGGTTGGCGACGCCGAGCTCCCGGACCTGTGGCGTCTTCCGAGGATCCGCCCGTGGTGCTGCGCAGAGGCTCCTCAAGGCTCCGCGTGCGGAGGCCACCCGTCTGTTCCTTACGGGGAGCTGGACGCGCAGAGCGCTGCAGGAGGCACTTGGCCAGCGGCCAGACTCGAGGTACACTGCCCGCGTTGCCCTCATTCGCTGCGCGTGTGGGCGCATCGCACTCTGCATGCTTCACGTCGACGTGATTCGAGCTGCGCGTCCAGGACGCGCAGCGGCGCAGTCATGGCGATGTCTTGCGCCTGCTCTTGTCTGCGAGCTTTCTGCGAGTTCCCTCTCCCTCTCGCCGCAGGAGGTAACACGCTGCTGCGAGTCGTGCTTGTCGATGGGCTTCCGCCGCCCAGTCATTGGGTCCCTCGCCTTCTCATCCTCTGTCTACTCTTTCCGCGCTTGGTGCAGCCTGCGTCAAGACAATTAGCGACGGGATGGTGCAGACCCGGCGGCAAACTACAAGAGCTGAAGCTGCCAAGGGCCTCAGCATGCTCAAACTGCGAATCGTCCTCGGCCTGCCACTGGGCAGGGCGCCACCTCTTCCGATGCAAGCGCAATCTGGCATCGGTGGGCTTGGACCGTGGATGCGCAGCCCCCTGGACATGGCCGCCTCCGTGCACCTCCGTGATCTATGTCGAGGAGGAGGAGGGGGAGGAGGAGGAGGAGGAGGAGGAGGAGGAGGAGGAGGAGGAGGAGGAGGGGGAGGAGGAGGAGGAGGGGGAGGAGGAGGAGGAGGGGGAGGAGCCTCCGGGACCCGAGTATTCCAAATGATGTGAATTTCCGACCACCTCGCGTACCTCCTTGCCCTTGTGCATTGTCCCCCCACTGCCCTGCACTGCTTCCGCAGCGCTATTCCCATCCTCCTCCTTCTCCTCCACATGTTGCTGGTCTCAAGCTTTGAGTCTCGCCCTCGAAATCTTCCCTCTGCTGCTTCCCTGTTGCAGAGCTCCTTGAAGGTCTGGGGCAAGCCAATCCGGCTTGAGCATCAGGCCTCGCAGCGTTGAGGGAGGACGAGGGTCAGGGGGAAGGAAGGTAGGACGAGGACAAGGAAGATACGTGTGATGACGAGGGGGGCGGGAGGGCATTGATGAAGAGGATGACAAGATGACGAGGAGATTCAGGAGGCTGGGTTTGAGTATGGAGAGGCAAGGGTTGAGAAAGGAGGCTGCGGACAAGGAGCAAGGAACACATTGGGATTGATGAACAGAACCTTACTGATGCCGCCACTCCCCGGACCTCTCCCCAAATGCGCTCCGATACAGACTTCGAGGTGAATCCGGCCGTGGCGACGAGGGGGAGAACGTCAAAGCCTCACCTCCCTTCCTCCTCGTGGGGTGGAGTGGGGGGAGGAAGACTGGACACGCAGACAATGCAACGGGCCACGGGGCTGGTTGGAGGCCTTGCGCGCGACGGTCGGCTGCGAGGCTGCCCCCGCGGAGAGATCACTGCCTCATGCCTCGGGCGGCGCGGTGCGACGCTGCGCCGCGAGCGCCGATGGGCCACGCAAGCCGTTCGGGCTGGCCTCCGCACGCTGCCCAGACGACGCTGGACGGTGTCCTGCCTTTCCGCGGCGAGCGCGGGGGGGAGGTGAGAAGGCGAAGGCCCTCTTCAGAAGGCGGCGGGACTCCTCGGAAGCCCTCCGGTCTCCTGCGAGGTCTTGGCCTGCACCTGCAGGGGAAAGGCGTAGACCACTTCTCGGAGAAGGCCGGGGGACTGCTGGGCCTTCTGAGAAGGCAGCCCCACCTCGGCACCAAGGCTCTCCATCGAATTCGGCGGCGAGCGAGGGGGGGGAGAGAAGGCGAAGGCCTCTTCAGAAGGCGGCGGGACCCCTCAGGAGCCCTCTGGCCTCCTGCGAAGTCTTTTCCTGCACCTTCGGGGGAAATGCGTAGAAAACTGTTCAGAAGTCTGGGAGACCTCCGGGCCTTCTGAGAAGGCAGCGCTGCCTCAGTACCAAGGCTATCCTCCGAATTCGGCGTCGAGCGAGGGGGGGAAGTAAGAAGGAGAAGGCCTTCTCAGAAGGCGGCGGGACTTCTCGGGAGCCCTCCAGCATCTTGGGAGTTTTTCTCTGTGCCTTCGGGGAAGGCTTGGAACACTTCTCGAAGGTCCTCCCCCCTTCCTCCTCCTCCTCCACCTCCTCCTCCTCCTCCTCCTCCTCCTCCTCCTCCCTCCTCCTCCTCCTCCTCCTCCTCCTCCTCCCTCCTCCTTCCTCCTCTCCTCCTCCATCCCTCCTCCTTCCTCCCCTCCTCCTTCACTCCTCCTCCCTCCTGCTCCCCTTCTCCTCCCTTCTCCTCCTTCCTCCTCCTCCTCCTGCTTCCCTCCTCCTCCGCCTCCTCCTCCTCCTCCTCCTTCTCCTCCTCCCCCTCGCTCCTCCTCCTCCTCCTCCTCCCTCCTCCTCCTCCTCCTCCTCCTCCTCCCCCTCCTCCTCCTCCTCCTCCTCCTCCGCCCGCCCCTGCTCACTGCCCCCCCGAGCCTCGTCCTCGGGGCTTCCCTTCTTTGGCGTCCAGGTGGGACGGCGATGGTGTCCCGGTGGGCTCGCGATCGGAGTGCGACATGGGTGGTGGTGGTGGTTGCGGTGGTGGTGGCGGTGATGGCGATGGCGATGGCGATGGCGATGATGATGTTGATGATGATGCTGATGATGCTGATGATGATGACGACGACGATGATGATGATGATGATGGTGGTGATGATGCTGATGCTGATGTTGTTGACGATGCTGATGCTGATGCTGATGTTGTTGACGATGCTGATGCTGACTATGATGATGGTGAGGGTGCTGATGATGCTGATGATGCTGCTGATGAGGATGACGACGATTATGTTTATGATAATGCTGATGATGCTGCTGATGATGATGCTGCAGCTGCTGCTGCTGATGATGACCAATACCGAACATATCATCCACATGCCTGGTGCGCAGCACCCGGGTGGCGGTGCTAGAGGAGGTGGTGGTGATGATGATCATGATACGATGTCAACGTTTGATGTTGATCCTGATCATCGCATCGCTGTGACGTCGAATGCACAACAACAAGCTACTGCACGCCGCCGTGCGAGTGCACACGGACGCCACGCCATGCACTGCCGCGAGCGCGTGCCAGAATCGCCGCTGGCGAACAGAGGAGCACGCCAGAGGGATGTGGCAGGACTTGGCGGCGAGCGAGGGGGGAAGTGAGAACGAGAAGGCCTTCTCGGAGGGCTCATTACCATCACCATCATCATCATCAAAACCAGCATCATCATCCTCATCATCGTCATCATCATAGTCGTCGTCATCATCATCATCGTCAGCATCACCATCATCATCGTCATGGTCATCATCAGCATCACCATCACCATCATCATCATCGTCATCATCAGCATCATCATCATCATCATCGTCGTCGTCGTCACCACCACCACCACCACCACCACCACCACCACCACCACCACCACCACCACCACCACCACCACCACCACCACCACCACCACCACCACCACCACCATCCATGTCACACTCCGATCGTGAGCCCAGCAGGACACCATCGCCGTATCATCTGGATGCCAGAGTGAGGCCCTGAGGACGAGGCTCCGCGACGCGCCTGGGGGGGGCAAGTGAGAAGGGGCGGGCCTTCTTAGAGGCTCGAAAGCCCTAGGGCCTTCTGAGAAGTTCTCCAAACATTCCCCCGAAGGCACAGAAGAAACCTCTCGGAAGACCAGAGGGCTCTGGAAAAGTCCCGCCGCCTCGTGAGAAGGCCTTCTCCTCCTCACTTTCCCCCCTCGCTCGCCGCCGAATTCGGAGGATGGCCTTGGTACTGAGGTGGCGATGGGTGCTTCGGCACAGGCCTGGGCGGCCGGGGCTAACCGCAGGCCGCTGAAGAGGACTGTGGGATCGTTGCCTCGGCAGGGCAACTCCTGCATCCAGGACGTCAAAC